AGTGATAGAGTTGTGAGATCTGAAACAGGCTATGTCCTGTGCTTCAGGGGGGAACATTAACAGATAGCAGGGCAATGTGGGAAATGCTAAGATGGTTCCAAGACTGCACATAAACAGAAGAAATGAAAAACTTGAAGAAAAAGAAAACATAAAACTATAGTGGGAATTATGAGAGGAGACACATGGCCAGTTTCTGATATTTAAGTTTTAGGTGGTAACTGGACACTCAGGGGACACTTTGGAATCTGAGACTCCAAAATGTCAAGCAAAGGACATGCAGGTGAGAGTATATGCTATCCTACTCTCCAGGAAGAAACAGTCTGTCAGGGCTGAGGCTACATATTCCCCACAGCAGAAGCCCAGTACCAGCCATAATGGCAAACAGTAGGAAAGAAAACAAGACTTCCCTACATTGGACAGGAGGCATCCTGCTATTCTAAGAGCCTCCTGTATCCTTGACAACAGGAAATCAGATGCTTAAGTCCCTGGTACAGCTTGAAATAAAGATCTAAAATCCTGGTTTTGGTTTTTGGTTTTTGTTTTTTTTCAGAATAGAGTACCTTTGTACTCAAATCTCTCCCTTGACTTTGTCATATTAATCTTTGGGTTTCTGTTTCTGAGCTATCTACATTCTCCCATGTAAGGAGGTTGAAAGGCCTGTGGAGAGGTGCTTGTGTTTATGCCAGTGCTGTAAATCTAATACAGCTTCATGCATGTATTTCCTGGATGGACTTTTGAGAACCTGTTCTTAAGGAACTCCTAAGGAAAGAATCTTACAATGTACAAGTACCTCGGGTCCAAGAATTCCAAATTATAACAAAGTCTGTTGTTCTATAACCTACAGTAACAGCAGCCATTTTCAGTGTTCCAGGAAGCACTTTTGAGAGAAGGCCTAAAAACAAACCACAAAGCCAAGACCATGTTCAGGGCAAAGACCCTAAACTCCTTCCCACCCCAGGCTGTGGGTCTTCCGTGCAAGCTGAGAATCACGTATCTTGAGGGATGTCATTGACCATCTATGAAAGCACATGCATCACACAATGCAAAGGAGAGAAGAGGATAGGGGTTGATGACAAAGAGAGAGACATTATAGGCTTGAGAACAGAGGCCATGTGGAAAGACAGGCACCTGAAATTTCTGGCATCAATATGATGTCACTGAGGCTTGTTTCTCTAATTCATGGTCACAATACAGCCTTCCCCGTGCTACCCATTTCTGAGTGAACTCTAGGGATAGCTTCCTGGGAGGCACATTTTAGATGTTGTTTTCCTTACCTGAACTCCCCTTAAACCAGAACACGCATACTAAAATGCAAGAATGCATTGCAAGGAAGTGTGGGAAAGAAGGAAAGCCTACACGCTTGCCCATCATCACCTTTGTCTGAGCCTTAGCAGCTTCATGAAAGAAGTGGTACAGACACCCTCATTTTACAAATTAAATTGTGACTCAAAGTTTTTAGAAATATAAATACGGATCCAGTAACTCACAACTCTACCATTCCCTTTCATCTCACTTCCCTGACCCTGCCTTTTCAGCACTGGGCAGAGTCAGGAGTTTCTATATGATGTCTTTAACAACAGAAGCAGAAAATGAAAATGAATGGTTTACAGGGCACAAAAGACACGTAGGGCGACCTAAAGAGAGCTGTGGACATGCCCCAACGTCTGACAACACATAGTACCTGGAAAGCCATCAAGATATTCACCTCAACTGGTAGTCACATCCATGGCCATGGGTTATAACCAGCCTTTCCTGTTCTGCTCCTTCTGAGGGAGCTACTCAGGAAGGTCACTGGGGCCACATTTTTCTTTTGACATTTTCGAAATATCTTTATATAATGTGACTGGTACATGAAGTACATTAAAGGAGGGCTTTTATGGTAAATCCTGTAGGCAGTCAGTCATACCTCAAATCCAGAGAAGCATAGAATGTTAGACTTCACCCTACATGTGTGACTTCAGAATAAATGTCCCCCCTTCTGCTGTAAAAAGCATATGCCTTTGTACTTAGCTATGCCATCAGAATTTGGGTGGTAGATCTGATGGCCTCCTGTTTTGGTGGTTGTGCTCACAGCTACTCATTGTAACTTCATCAAATATTTATGGAAAACAAATTTGCTGAATATCTGATAGGGCGGCATTAACTGTGACAGGCAGAATGAATATAGTTCCTAGCTTTGTGAAGTTCACATTCTAGTGAAGGAGATAGGCATGTGATATTAGAGTGGCGTATGTGTAGGAGAAGTGAGAGAGTCAGAGTTTAGTGATACCCTGTGGAGATACTGCTTGAGCCAAACAAAATATTTTCTCAAAAGTCTGCACACTCAAACCTTGATTTTTCTGGAGATAACTCCATCACAAGGAGTCAAGTAAATCACTGAAGTTGCGAATTGCAAAACTTCTTGTTTCCCTTGATGGGAATCAGACAGAAAGGGTTTCCCCTGGTTAGAAACTGATGGCATCACAGCCCTGTCTCCTGTTCACCTAAGAAATAAGGACAGAAACCACACGGGGACAGAAGTCACCATTAACAAAGCTGCAGAAACCAGACTCACTGACTTCCTGTCAACCATCTCAGCTATTTCAGGTGCCAGAGTGGTTGTCACATTGTTGAAGAGTGTACCTGCCTTCCTTGGTAAGTAAAGTACTGCTCCAAGGAATCAATTCCCTAGCTGTGTTTTCAGTGTGGGGCTTGTAAGGGGCCTGTGAGCTCCTTCCTCTTTATGGCTAAACCGCGAAGCTGGGTACAGAGCCCAGATAGAGTCACCGAGAATCAGTCCAGGAAACAACCCCCGGATTGTGGTGAAAATCAACAATAATTGTCTCGTTGGTGGGAGCTTCTTCTCACGTGGGTAAGCCTCGGAGATAAGAATGAAACTGCACATTAATACCTAGAGTCGTCACACTACAAGTCCCTTGCACAGAAGCACACATTTCTGCCCTCTTTGTGGAGAATGTGGAGTCCAGGTGATATTCTTATTCAAACTGAGACACTCCAGAGAGTGAAAGGGTTACTAAAAATAGCTAGCCCCCACTAAGTGATTGATAGTGACTAGACTTAGCATGCCAGAAGTGTGGCCATCTACAACAAATTGTATCTTTGCCCACTAGATGACAATGGCCTTCCATTGTATTTCCAGAGGTCATCTGTGCAGTGCACTTTAATGGGAAGTGTTTGGATTTTTTTTTTTTTTTTGTTTTGTTTTGTTTTGTTTTTGCTTTGCTTGGGTGGTCACAGGTTAGGCTTGGGATTAAAAAATGCCTCATCCTCCATTTGCATGATAAAAAACAAAATGGAGGTTTGTGTCAGAAATATTCTCTGAAAATATAACCTCTTAATACTACATACACATGTATGATTGCAAAATATAGGCAGGAAAATGGGTGAGGGGAAAAGGAAATGCACTTCTAAATAATATCATCTTATATTTTCCCTCTTTCTTTTCTTTCATTCTTCTCTGCTGAAAGAAGTATTATAAAAAAAATAATAATGATTGAAATTGAAGCTTCATAATATAATGTTTAAGGCCTTCTGAATGTTGAAATAACCTGTCTACATTCCTTTCCTACAGGAAAAACATAAGCACATTTAAAACCAGACAAGAGTCTCCAAAGCAATGTAAGTCATCATTTGGTTTGGTTTGGTTTTGAGACAGGGTTTTTCTGTGTAATAGCCCTGGATATCCAGGAACTCTCCTGCCTCCTGAGTTCTGGGATCAAATCTGTATCACACAGATTATTATTTCCCCATCATTTTTACTCTTGATGGACTTGCATTTCAAAAATATCCTTTCTCTATATTTCCAGAACCCAGTGGGAATATCTACCACAAACCTACATATTTTGCTGCAATTTATCCCGCTCCATGTTTGTTTGCTTGTTTTTCCCATTAAGCAGTGGGTTCAATGAAGCAGGGAATGATTTATTGATCTTCATACTCCTCAATCAGTGCCTGAGCTGGAAACTGAAGAACTAACTGGGAACAACAAATATGCCAGCTAAGGCACAGAGGGGCAGCTAAATATGTCAGTCCTCATCTCAAGAGCAACAGGGGAAGTATGGAGAAGTTTTCTGAAAGAGGCAGGGATGATAGATTTGCATTAAAGAGATTATCCAGCCCAGTGGGATGTGCAGACAGGAAATGGTGATGCCAGCAGACCGATTATGAGGCTGTGGAGACAGATCAGTGGTGAAGTTAAAGAAACAAGACTTGGGACTGGAGAGATGGCTCAGTGTTTAAGAGCACTGGCTTCTTTCAGAGGACCTTCGTTCAATTCCTAAGTACCCACATGGCAGTATCTATAGTTCCAGGGAAACTGATACCTTCACACAGACACATGGATGCAAGTCACCATTGCACATAAAATACAAATAAATACTTTTTAGATGAAGCTTGAGTTGTTGGAGAATGACAGCACATACAAGGCCAAGAATAAGAAAGTGTGGGTGCGAGGATGGGCCCTAACATTTCTGTAGGAAAAATAAAATAATAATAATAATGAAGGAATTTTGTCTTTCCCTAGCTGGGTTTAGAGTGGAGAGTATAGCTCACCCATACACTGAATCTCAACACTCAGCTCTATGGGCATATAAAGCAGCCTCTAACCCTCCCAATGTGGTCCATTTCACCCCAGGAATGGTGGGTCCCAACAAGCTCCAATTTCTAATAGAATAAGGCACAACACAAATAATGCCATTGGTGCCAAAATGCAGAGCCCTTTCTTCTGGTGAGAATAAAAGCTAATGAGGATGTACCAGGGGAAGTATAAAACCATGAGCCATGTAGTGCCCTCTGTGGAGAGCTCTACCTCCTGGATGCCAGGGCTGGGAAGTGGGGAAGTGTGACTCTGTTCTGTGACTAAGCTAGTCAGTTTGGAGTAAAACACCTTTTGAAAAAACTGTCTTGCTTCTGCAGAAACATAAGTGGGCAGAATCTGAGGATTCTGAAAAGCTTTCCTTGAGCAACAGTCCCCATGCTGTCACCATCTCACATTACCTGTTAGAAAGGACACCCTCCTGTCTGCCCTGTAGGTCTCTCATGCTGTCTGGTATGTCCCCTGCCTAGCCTGTGAGCCTTGAGAAGACAGGCTTGTTTCTGGTGTGTCTGCCTCCCTATTGTCTTTTACCAAGTAGGTACACAATGGGCATTACATAAGGGAAGAGAGAAGACAGGGGGTATGATTGACTGCCCAAAGATACAGTTAAAGCATCTTTCTTCACTGGACCCAGCAGCCTGAGCAAGCTCTCCTGTAGCATTGTTTAGGTTGTCCTATGACACTTAGGGATACATTATAGACTTCTGTAGACTATTCCAGCTGTGCCTTGGCTGTCTGGTAGCAAACACCCTAGCCCACCTCCTGGAGTTTCCTCCCAACCCGAGTTTCACTGAGTGTATTTTCTTTCTGCAGATGAAGGGATGACTTCAGCTCCTGTGCAGGTAATAAGACCCCTTCTGATCACAACATGGAGGAAACACTGTAGATGCCAGGGCAGGAACCCACAGTTATTTGCAGAGCCTGGTGGTAAAAACAACAGCACTCCTGTTGCATAACTGATTGGAGGGAACTAATATTTGCTGAACACTTTGTTGATGACAGGCTGTGTATTTGACAAGCAGGTCATGTAACTGTCACAACAACCCATATTACTGTGCCCTCTCACTTCGTGGATGCAAAACCTGAGAGATTAAGTTACTCTCCAAATACAGGCCTCTGAAAGATGGCAGAGCCAGCATTCAAACCCTGGGCTCACTCTAACAGCCACTTGCTCTCCACTGGACATTGCTGCCTCTGACTTTTAGCTCCTGAGATTCCACTCTTAGTGAGACCTTCCCTTGACTTATTAATACAATAATCTGCTTGTGGGTGCATTTCAATTTGTAGAGAGTGCTTATCTAGCATACAGAAAGCACTAGGTTTGATCCCCAGCACAGCATAAACAGGATGTGGTGGCACACATACTACCATGGCACTTATAGATAAAAGTATGAGGAACAGAAGTTCAAGGTCATTCTCTGCTACATATAGATTGGGATACATAAGACCCTGTCTCAAATAATGACAATAATAATCTCTTAGTGAGCAGTTAAATATTATCCAAGCACATCCAGCATTCTATGACCAGGGGAAGTATACAAGGTGGTCAAAGATCACTTTGGAACAGGTCAGCTATATACTTTTGGATGACATGAGCATTCCATCTTCTAGTTTAGTGTTTGGAATTCCCCTGAAGCCATTTAGACAAGACAGCCTTGAAATGGAGAAAGCAGTGGTGGAAGACAGTTTCCCAGTCAGGCCCATGTTGTCACTGAAGTATAAATGAAATGGAAAGAGGCCAGATATTTATGACGGCTCTCCTTTAACCTACAGGACAATGCCAACCAGATCTACACAGAGGAGTTATGCTACATCCTTGTTGATCACAAGACCCTTGGAGGAAGGCCGTCAGGCAGCTCTACGGAGGAGTTCTATGAGAATATCCCTAGCAAGGCTGAGAGACACAGAGAGTCCCCAAGAGGGGCAGAGACTGAGTATTCAGTTCTCCGTTTCCCTTCTACCCCTCAGACACCACCTTCCACAGAAGATGAATACGAACTTCTTGTGCCTAATAGCCTCTCCTCTCCTGCCTCTCAACAGCCACGGGTACTTAGAGCCCCCTTTGAGACTCATTTTGCTCATCTACAATGATGTGACTAGGTTAGAGTTTGTTTAGCACTGACAGATAAAAGCAGGAGTTGGGGACTCTATTTGATGACAGATAAAAGTAGGAGTTGGTGGCTCTAGTTGAAGCAAAAAATCTTAGCTCATTTCTTCTGGAGGACTTTGGCAGGGTAGACTCTGCAAAACTCAAATCTTTTTAGGGTCTGATTATAGCCAGTGTTCAAAATTAGTCAATTGTCTTGAACGTCACCTTTGCTTCTAAGTGGTGTTAAAAATATTCTGTGGTAGGAAGGGCTCCCCATATCTACACCTGGGTGTACCACAAAAGGCTCTGCTCTTCTCACTAAATTCTTATTCATTATCCCCACAAGCTTACTTATCAAGTCCCATGTCCCCGGAGGGAATTCCCTCATCACTGGGAAATTCCAGCTCAGCACCACTTTCAATGGCAACCTACAATATTCCTTTTAAACCATGGGCCTGAGACATGTCCTTTACTTGGTGTCCTTTCCCTACTTAGAATTTCCTGTGCCATAGTTAATATAATTTTAAACTACATTTTCAGACTTTGAATTGTCTTTCTCTTATGGTGCAGGAAAGCATCTCCAGAACCTCATCCTTGTTCAGCAAGTGCTCTAGCATCAAAAGACAACTCAAACCCCTCCACCTAAATCTCAGTAGAATCTAGACTGGTCTAAAGAGTGAGTACCAGATCAGACAGGGCTACAAAGAGAAACCCTATCTCACAAAACCAAACCAAACAAACAAAAGACCTCAGTAGACTCACCATAGCATCAGAGAGTGATGGAGCAGAAGGGAGCCATTAATCCCACTATCTTCTTTTTTGGCTGAGAGAAAATAATTTTCCCAAAGGTACACTATTAGCATTAGCAGCCAAACTTTATTCTGGCTTCCAAATCCGTGTTCCTGCTACATACTATATAGAATAGAGTAAATTTCTCCATAAATAATCCAGCATATGTGAAATGTCCACATGGGAAAAATACCACACACACCCCTTCTCCATGAGCACCCCTCTATGCCTCGATCCTTTATTTTCCCTCATTTTTTTTCTTTAGAATTCTGGAATTGTACCTATGCTACATTAGCCAACTATGCATAATCTGTTGACTGACCACATCTGACCCACCACCTGTTTTTCTAGATAAAGGCTTATTGAAACACAGCCCCACTGATTTGTCTACATACTATCTTTGGTTGCTCAACCATGGTAGGGTTGATTTGTAACACAGACCAGCACTTTACAAAGCTAAAAATATCTTTAGTTTAACCTACTCTGGCTAGTAATGTTGCAGACCTTTGGCCTAGACAATGACAGTTTGAGATTTACTTAAAAGGACTATGTTTGAATATTATTGAGGCAACTCATTAGGAGTGAGTACCAATGAAATGGCAGGAAAACATTAAACCACAAACGAGGTAAGCGAAACAAAAACAATTGTTAGCAAATTAGACTATTTCTATATTCACACCTGCATCCTCAAGGTGTTATGGTATTTATCTCATGGCCACTGTCCTAATTTTAGGAATGCTAAAAGGGCAAGATGCTCCTTGAGACAAGCTCGGGATCTACTATGCACTTAGTTACTACTTTGTTCTCAAAGCTGGATAACTTTCTATTTAAAATGTCACAAGGCATTAGGGAGGTAGCTTGATAGTGGGACCCTTGTCTAGCTTGTACAAGATACACAGACACACCCATGCATATACATGCTCACAACAAATAAATATAAAGCAAAACAGGTAAAGTGCCCATTGAGAGTAAATGTGGTGGCTTAAGTTCCTGAATGAGTTCACTGAGGCATAAGCCTGTTGATCACCTGCAGCTGATGAGCTGATCAGGACCATGGTCTCAGCTAACTCCCTTCTTCCAGTTATCTTTCACACAGAAGCCTAACTTTAGACTTCAGCCAGAAATCACTTGGGTTCAGAGGGCACGTCCATGGCGATAGGAAATGCTGTACAAGATGTAACTCATGGCTTATGGGAAGCTGATTCAAATCTCTGTCACTTTTCTACCTCTGCCTCTGACCCACTTGGCTGAGGCTCCGTCTGTTATGTTGGAGGGCTACATCTGATATGCAGTCATTTATTCTAGCTTACTTTCTACTGCTGTGATAAAACACTGACAAAAATCCCACTGGGGAAGGAAGGGTTTATTTGGCTTATATGTCCCAATCATATTCCATCATGGCTTAAGCTTGAGACAGGAAATAAGGCAGAGGTCTTGGGGGAATGCTACTTACTCTCCATAGCTCTCTTAGTTTGCTTTCATATAAAACCCAGAACCACCTGCTCAGGGGTGGCACTGCCACAGTTGTCTGCCCCCCCACATTCACCAATCATCAGTCAAAGCCATGTCCCACAGACATGCCCACAGGCCATTTCAACGGAGGTGATTTCTAGACCTCTTCCCAGGTGACTCCAGTTTGTGTCAAGTTGACTAAAAACAACAACAACAACAACTAACCATCACATCATCTATCACAGACCCTGAGGAGAAATGATAGTAAGGAATAAAGCCTGGAGCCCTCAACTTCCCTCCAGCAAGACAGTCATCAAGCAGATGGCTCTATGCTAGAGTGGGATTTAGCAGAGCATTGTAGTTTGAGTGTGAAATATTCCCAAAGTCCCTGTGCATAACCACATGGTTCCCTACTGGTGACAGTTTTGGGAAGACACAGAACCTTTGGGACTATGACCTGGCTAGCACAAGTGGTTCATTGAGGGGAGGCTGGGAACTTGAAGGTGATACCTGCCCTAGTTGTGGCTGGAACCCTGCCAGGGTTAATGCCCATGCCACAAGCTCCCCTACTCAAGCTGAGTTGCTCCAACCCCCATGCTGCCCTGTAAGAATGGACTGTGCCTCCTGGAACTCTGGGTCAAAGCAAGCCTTGTCTTACTTGTGGCTTCCATCGGGTATTTTGTGACAGTGATGAGAAAATAACTAATGTACTTGCATAAAATATAAAACCACCTCCAATTTTACAGCAAGTGGTATTTTGTGTCCAACCATTCCTGCCATTCCTAAACTCCATCTTCTGGTACAGATGGTGTGGATGAGATTTGGCATCACACTTACTGAGGAGCCATTGCTAATGGATAGTTGCAGGGCCTTTGGTGGGAAGGGCAGTGCCATTCTTATTGGAAGATGTGGTATCTCCGATGAAACAAACACACACACACACACACACACACACACACACACACACACACACGAACAGCTCTAACTTATCCAAAAGAAAAAAGAAAAGCATGAAGTGGGAGGGGGTATGTTGGGGAGATATGAAAAGAGTTGTGTTGGGGAGGATTTTATCATATGTAGGTTTTTAATTCTAAATAAAGAAAAAGCATACTAAGGGCTACCACAGGATGATGCTGATCCCCTTTTCCACACATTTCAAAATTTCTGATGAAATTATATGGTCTTGCGGGGGGAAAAAAGTACATCAACACAAGCGTGTATGTGTGTGTGTGTGTGTGTGTGTGTGTGTGATTATTCACATGAAGTTCCAGGGGGCTAGTAATGCAGTCCCTCACTTAAAGAATCCCTGTTCTTTAGAAAGAAACAGGCTGAGTTTCTAATTTATTCCTTCAAGTCACAACTATAACGAGAAATGCTCCTCCCCTGTACAGGGCTTCAAACTGTGCACAGAAAATGGAGTGATCCACTGCACAAGCCGTGGCTGGCTTTGTGGTTTCCTCTCACATTCATATTAGCACCTATAAATAAAGCCCTATTCTGTGAATGGATTTTTATTTTAAACTGAAGAAAGAAATAGGGAAGAGGCAACCATAGGCAGGAAAATGTACTGGTGACAACTTCAAATGTTGACTTGATTAGGACAGCCTTAGGACAGGCTCTGAAGTGTCTCAGGATGGAGGGCATGGGGAGAGACAGGACAGAAGGCTTGGAGGAACAGGATGGGAGGCATGGGGCAGGGACAGGATAAAGGGCATAGATGAAACAGGATGGAGAGAATGGGGGAGCACAGGACAGAAGGCATGGGGTGAAAAGATGAAGGGCATGGGGAGGCACAGGAGAGAAGGGCATGGCGGCACAGGATGGAGGGGATGGGGATGGGCAGAATGGAAGGAATGGTGAAACTGGATGGAAAGGCATGGGTGTAGGGGATAGGACGGAGGGCACAGGGGAGCAGGCGTGGAAGGGCATGGAAAACAACAGGATGGACAGGAATTGGAAGGGGGGGGGCAGGATGGAAGACTGTGAAGGGAACAACTGCATTTCCAGGTCACCAGAGGAGCCTACAGAGGAAGAGAGGTTCTCTCTTGTGCACAGGCTGGAGCTTTCCCAAACCTAACCTCCGAAGTACACAAATTTGACTAAATCTGAGGCTACATTGGTTCTGCCAGCCATTAAGTGGATCATACAAACCCATCCTATTTTTCCAGAGTCTTTTTTTTTTTTTTTACCATCTGAAGAAATGCCACAGTGCCATTATCATTCTTTCTCTGCACATGGCCCCGAATGTTTTGAAGATAACCAAGGCTGAGCTGAGGATGACTTCAGGGCACCCACCAGGATAGGTGGCTACTCAGGGTTGATTACCCAGTGGGCTAGGCTTTGTCTCCCACAAACTGTAGGACTATAGATGACCTGCCCTCCCAAGCTTTGGCGTCTAGTTATAAAATGTGCTGCCTTCTGATAGTGAGGACCATTGTCAATAAACACAGGACAGTCTTGAAAGGATGTGCAGAATAAGGAGAGCAGCAACAGTCCATGTGTTTTATTTGCTCATGGGAAAGAAGGGAACCCTGGAATACTGCTCCCACCATCTTTGTTTTAATCACGTTCTAAGTTCATGTAAAGAATCTGCATCTTAAAAAAATACAGTGCAGTGGTTCAATGCTTGTCTGTCATAGGTTCAATCCCAAGTACAGCAAAGAAACAAAAAAAACAAAAACTTGTTAACTTTATCATAAGAGATTAGTGGACAAGCTGGACATGGTTGCCCATGCCTTTAATCCCAGCACTCCGAGGAGGCAGATGCAGGAAGAGCTCTGTAAGTTCGAGGGTAGCCTGGAATACAGAGTGAGTTCCAGGACTCTTACACAGAGAATCCCTGTTTCAAGGAGAAAACAAACAAATAAAATCAACAACAACAAAGGGTAAATGGGCAAATCTGCTGGCTCCTATGTCACGAGCACACAGTCTTCAAGTAGACTCCACTGACCATTCTTTTCTCTGACCACCCACAACTCTTCAGTCTGTATTGTTTACGGTTAAACCTGGCTATTTTTTTCTCTGCTGTTTCCTGTTTCATACACACAGATGCCGTTTCTCGCATAACATTAGCATCTTCTTTTACTGTCTTCTCTGTGCATGCACAAAACCATGCGACTCACATCTACAGGTGGCTAGAGAGATGGCTCCGTGATTAAAATGTGTGCTGCTCTTGCAGGGGACTTAGGACCAGGACCAGTCCCAACAACACTGTGATGCTCACAACTCCCTACAATTGCAGTTCCAGGAGATCTGATGCCCTCTTCTGCTCTCCTAGGACACTTACACACACACACACACACACACACACATACACAGTACACACAATACACTCAAGCACAGACTCAAATTAATAACTAAAGATAAAACATATCTTTAGAACAAAATGGCAAAGCTAAAAAGGTGGATACTACTTAGAAATTTTGTTAGCAACAGGACAAGTGCTCTATGCAAAGCTATGTGACTTCCTGAAAGCGACATCTTTCATCCTAAATCCTTCAATTATTTCATAGGTATTTGTTGAATCTTATATGATGCACCAGGCATTATTCCTGTCATTAAGATGCATGGTGACCACAAAACTTACTTTCTATAACAAAACAATGTATATGTGCATGGGATTATTTTTATCAAACATCTCAGTATGCTTTAGTTCCCCGTAATGTATTATATCCAAAAGTCAATATTGGAAATTCTTCTCAAGGGTCAAGTGGTCAAAATCAAAACTAAGGTACTAACATCTCAGCGCTTCCCGAAAAGGGGGAACAAAACCAAACCCCATCTCCAGACACTAACAGACCCATCCTCCTGGCCCCACCCAAGAAGCAATTTCATGGGGAAAAGATTTATTTTAGCTTACAGTTTCAGTCCATCATGACAGGGAAAGAATAGTTAACAGCAGCAAGAGCAGAAGGTAGGGGCATCTACATTATGGTGGATGGGGAAGTGGAGAAAGAAGCTTGGACAAAGAGACTGGCCTGCAGCCTTCCAACCATTGCCTCCAAACCATTCTACAGCTTCCCCTAAACAGTATCACTAACTGTGAAACAAGTATTAACACGTAAGCCAGTGGGGGACATTGCAGATTGGTACTGTAACACTGGGACAGACTCCTCCCACTCTCCCTGGAAATGAGAGGACACAGCCAATCCCAGCCCAACCTGGCCAGGCTTCATCATATTCACCCAGAAGAGGAAGCTGCCTCTGTGTACAATCACTTCTATCCCCTTTTCCTGCAAGACAATGTCCACCTAACACACGGCCTTGGAGATGGAAGGCCTGACAGACAAATGGCAAGACAACAGTTGCAAAAATAATTTATTGTAAATGTTTTTAAGTCGTTATATATTAAAATTCCTCATTACTTTCAAAACAGTACAGGCACAGGGAGGCTCACAATTGGCATGTACAAAATAAAGGGGAAGGAGAAAAATCTACCCATTTCAGTAGTTTAAGGGACTATACTGAAAATGAAACAATAAATTACAATATACTTAATTATTATTACTATAGTATATAGTAGTTAAATAAGAAAGCAAATTCACATTGTTCACAACCCTATACTTGACACAGACTCATACACAGCTGCCTCTCACAGTGACCTACATCCATGACTAATCTATCTGAGGTATCAGGCTGGGGAATTTCTCATTATACAAAAATGAAACTATCCCAGAAAATTTCCAGGAAGACAATTTCCAACAAAACAAATATTCTATGCCCTCATGATAGGCATCCTTTATCTACAGGTGACTGATATAGTCACTAACATCCTCCTTGCCTTCCAAGGGACAGGCATGCCCCTTTCAACAGTTTCCAAAGGACAGAGATTCTCTGCTTGGTGAACATCTGCAGTAAGACATGCAAGCAACAACTCAAGATAGCGTGTCCTACAGAAAGGCAACAACACAAAGCTAGTATGTGGTATCAGTGGCAGGAATTAAGCAGTCTTAATGATCTTTTTATGGCTTTTATATAAAATAATAATAAAAAGCAGAATTGGTGGCAATCTTAAAAGATGGCAGCATGTTCAAAACTCACAGACTTGGGTTTTCTAAAAAAGATACTGAGGCAACTTAGGAACAATGAAGAGAAGAGAAACATTAACATGTTTCTGTATGTAACACATATGCCTGAGCTCAGTTGTCCATACACCCAGGGATAGGTGGTGGGGGTAGATGAAGGTATACTCTTTAGGTCTTGGAATTACCTTCCTCTCCCTCCCACCCTTGACTTAAAGGTCCAGCAGATATAATTGTGAATGAGGAGAGGGCTCGAATAAGCAATTGACTCGGCTCCCTCTCCTTCCCCTGACTGCTTGTTTTCTCCTTGCCCTGTCAGTGCAGGCTAACAGAACCTGCCTAAAACAAAGCCAGGTGCTATCCTTGTGCTACAGGGAAAGCATCCACGTGCAAGTAGAGGCAGCCAGTGCCTCAAGGCAGCAGGAATCTCACACTATGGAAGCTTTGATTCACCCCAGACCTCATGGAGCTCTGGAACCCAGCCAGGATGCCCCTCACACAACAGCTTTCAGGAATCCTGGATACAGAGCCAGACTTCCTATCTGTGCCGAATGAGTAGGGCTGTCTCCTCCTGCTGGTCACTACTAGATAGGTTTCTGAATTCTCTTCATTCTGAAACTGCTTTCTGACATAGACCGACCTCCGCCGTTTCATTCTAGAAAGAAGACAAAGATAAAGTTACTGCCATGCTTAGTTTTTGTTGACAATTTGACCCAAACTAGAGTCACCTGGGAAAAGGATCTCAATGAGGGCCTGCTAGATTAGGCAGGCATTGGGGAGGCGGAGGTGATTGAGTTAATTGAGGGCTCAGTCTGAAAGGGGGCAGCACCATCCTAGTCCAGAGCTCTGGGTTGTGTAAGACCAGAGAAACAGTTGAGCATGAAGTGTGAGTGCGGTCATTCCCCTCTGCTCTTGACTGTGGTTGTGATGTGGATAGAAACTTGAAGTTCCTACTGCTCTGAGTTTCCTGCTGTCACAAACTGGAACCTGAAATCAGGGTTGATCCCAGCAGCGGAAGTGAAACTAGGTCAAGTCCCCAATTTTCAAAACCCAACATTTGGGTTTATTATGGTTTTCTTAAGTCTGAGTATATAATCTTAGGTCAAATTGCAATGGCCATCAATTGTAAATAGAGAAATTTTACTCTCTGGATGCATTCACAAATACACACATGCGTATAGGTAGATATGCATGCATGCTGGACACTCTTCAAAAGGCAGATAACACTTGCCTTCTTGGATGCTCATTTATTTGCAAGATAATTTAAAATTTTTTATTTTGGTATGATTGGTGATACATATGGTATATCCTATATGAAGGACAATAAATAAAGTATGAACACCTCAAACCACCTTCAGTGTGCCAGGAGAAAGGCACAAGAACATGGCGCTAGGCAGCTTAGACAGAGGCACTCACAAGGGCCCTGCTGGAGGCTGCATGGAGAGAGCCTGCAGTTCTGCTATGGGGCTCTCAGTCACCATGGTTTATTTTTTCCTACCGTGCCTTCTCACTACTCTGTCTGATCACAGGCTGTAAGCCTCAGAGCAAGAGAGTGGTTTGTGGAAGAGTGAAAAGATAATGATTTGACACAATACAAGGCATCAACACTGCCAAACAAGGCCATCTGCCCCAATATGTTCTCTTAGTCATCACTCCAGGTTCCGCTTGTTTGCTTCCTCTACTTACCATAGAGCAAGAGGGATTCTGGATCTAGCCCAAGACTCTCGCAACTAGATACATTCTTATCGTGGAAATTCTGCCGCATGATGCCAAGCACCAACTCTTCGCTCATCATGTAGTCCATGAAGCCATCATCTTCAGCTGGAACTCCGAACTGCAAGTGATAGGTTACCGTGGCATTTTCAACACTGAAAAGCAAGCCATTAAAACATACAGACAGACATTTTAACGGGTAAAGGGAATCACAGTGACGAGACTCAGAAGCCACTTTTAGCATTAACACTTCTTCAGCTGTACATCTTCCTGGAACCAGCTCCAGATGCCATCACACAACCTCCAACAACTGCTCACACTTTAGGGGTCCACTAAGAGTTGCCTTTAAAAGGGAAGGACACAATCCAACTATCATAAAGAAAGACTGAGAGTTGGCTTGTAGCCATCTACCATCAGCCTTTCATCCTGTAGGGCCTGACCTTTCCTCCTCCTCTGTCCCCATCTCCCTGTCACTATGTGTACTCAACAGAGCTGGTCAGGTTAATGAGTGCTTTAAAAAGGTTTATTTATTCTTTCACAAGTTTTCACACACACGTACACTTTGATCACACCCTCCCCCAAGTTTAACCAGTTAACCTATAAAAATGATTATGGTCTGACCCAAGGCTCATTACCCTAACCTAGTTCCAGACCTCTTGATCTCCAAAACAAATGCCCTGTGGACCAGGAGTGAGTCATACCTCCTGCGTTTGGGGGAGCACTCCCCCATATCCACTTCCAGAGCTCCCTAAGGCATGACAAAATCTTACCTTTCAGTAAGGAGACTTATGGAATTTTTAACCCTGAGGGGGCCTTAAGCCTTTCATCTTTCAGAACATTTTTTCCCATTTTTTTATAGTGAAAAATAATTATAGGTCTATCATTAATCAGTAGCTTAAGTTTCTCTTTAGACACTACCTCACAGTTATTTTATTTCTATGGTCAAGATGACCCAGATTAGGCTCAGCAATAAAAAGAAAAAAAGGAATTAACAGGCAGTCACATCAGAAAGATTCTTCTAGGCAGAATATCATAGACACTTCAGTCTCTCCTGAGTTAATGGGTCACCGTGCTACTAAGGATAGGCAAAGAGCTCCCTCTTGAGGCCAGATGTCACATAGGCTAATGACTGTACACTGTATAATGCAGGGGATGATGACTGTAAACTTTCCCAAAGAGAAGTGTGCTGAGCTCTGTGGACCAAATGAATAAAGACATTTAGACTCTTAAAAAAGCCTAGGTACCAGGATGCCACTAAAGGCAGTCTTAAAGGCCCCCCCCTTTTTTTTAACTCCAATCCAGCTACCCTAGTTTGAGGGTGTCCTTAATTATCCCCCCAGTGGTATGATTTATCACTGCAGAGGATGGGCTGGCTGGCAGGCAGCATTCCTGTGTGCTCACTGTTAAGGATATGGGCCAGCTGATGAAACGGGGCCCGAGTGGAATTTCAGAAGAGCAAGCTGGAAGCCAAGTGAGAGCATCAAGCTACCTGATCCAGTCTGAGATCTGCACCCCTGTGGCCCCTGACTCCCCAACCCCAACGTCCCCAGATGGATTTATAAAAGGCAGAAATTTGAGGGAAGATGCTTTTCTGTGAGCTTTACCACAGCAGCCCACCACTAGAGTGGCTCTAGCAACCAATACAGCGAATAGTATTTTCAGGTTCCTGTTGGGCCAGTGCTGGTCCAGGTAAAGAACTCTCTGTAGACACAAATGGGTGTGTCGGGGACAGAGATGCCTTTTCCCACATGCAAGGGCATCCTTTTAGATATGGTGACATTTGTTTCTCAGGTCAATAATTTCAAAATGCTAAGTAAGCTTTTAAAATACAACAAAATTATGGGCTGGGGTGTGGCTCACTTGAATTGTTTGCCTGGCATGCATGAAACCCTTCAAGCCCCAGCAGTACATAAAATCTGGCATGATGACACATGCCTATAATCCCAGCATGCTGTGGCAGGAGAATCAGAAGTTTAAAGTTAACCTTGGTTATGTGAGTTTGAAATCAGCTGGACTACATGAGACACTTTCCCAAAAAAAAAAAAAAAAAAAAAAAAAAATTTCACCAGGTGGTGGTAGCATACTTTTAATCCCAATACTTGGGAAGCAGAGGCTGGTGGATCTCTGATTTTGGGACCAATTTGGTCTACAGAGCAAGTTCCAGGACAACCATGATTACACAGAGCAATTCTGTTTTGGAAAAAAAAAATATTTTTGCAGAATTTCTTTATTGGAAATACTAAAGTCCTTGGGGATTTTCTCTCTGTCTCTGTCTCTCTGTCTCTGTGTGTGTGTGTGTGTGTGTGTATGTGTGTGTGTGTGTTGGGGACTCTGTGTGTGTGTGCTCTGTGTGTGGGGGGGGATGTTAGATCCCCTAGACTCAGAGAGAAGGTTGTGAGCTGCCAAACATGGGTTCTGGGAACTGAACTCAGGTCCCCTGAAAGAACAGAAGTGCTCTCAACAACTGAGCCATCTCTCTGGCCCCCAAATAACTTTAAAAAAAAAAAAACAAATTCTGTAGGAGTTTGGGTATTTAGCTGAATAAATAGAGCACTTATCTATCAAGGAAGCATAAGGCCCTGGATTTAAGCCTTGGTTGCAGGGGAGTGGGTAAGGATTGAGGATTCTCTAACAATAAGTCTTGACCTGATTTTCAAGACCTGTTTTGCTCAGTTTTCTGGTAGCTTTCTCCAGGGTCTACTCCTACCCATTGTATACTAATCCCTGATCCTCTATTCCATAGCATAAGGACAGATTCTCGGAAAGACCCAAAGGCTCTGGGGTGGGGGAAATCACTCCCCACTCAAGCTACTTGGAATTGAAAGACAATTGAGTGAAGCATGTGAGATCTGACTATGCTACTCTCCCTTTCCTACTTTCATTTCTGCGCCAGTGATTTCTAACTAAGAGTGGTCGGGTCAGAATTGGGCGGCATACAGAGACTTGTGAAGAACACAGAAGATGACCTCAGACTTCAGATCCTTCTGATCCTACCCCATAAGGTCACCACTGGCGTCATGGCTCCCCTCCGTTCTACTGGTGTTGTGGCTTGAGTAGGAGAATCCCAATATGTAATACTGACTTTGATGGCTACCTCCCAGTGACACCCAAGGAACAATTGACAATAAAGCTTTGTCACATAAACCTTGTTTAAAATACTCCCAGTAATCTCTGCTATATAAAACGATAATTAATTAAATGACTACACCCACACACTCTGATCTAAATTCCCAAACTGTTACAAATTTCATGGGATTAAGAAGAAAAACTTGATGAAGATATACATTAACACTGTATACAGTAAACATATACACAGAAAAAAAAATCAAGGCGAACTGTTAGGGTTGTTAACTTTGTAGGAGTGAGTGTGATTAGTCATTGGTGGTACACTAAAAGCAGGAGGCAGAAGATAGACCTGATTGGCAGGTATAGTTCTAAGTCATTTTGGTGCCACATAGATCATGTCACTTCCACTACATCACTCTCTGACATTTATATCTATTTCTGCCCTTAATATATTTGTGTATCTTTTGTTAAACAGGAATGTTTCCCTTAGACAGGCTTTTCCTCTCTATGTGTGACCTTAATTGAACCACATAGTTAGGCTGTGATTTCTTTTTTATCTGCATTGTGTAATATCAACTGAGCTAAGCAGTTTCCAGGAACCATCCCAGCACAACACTGTGATTCTATTACCAACCCCTTTCCTGCACCAGAGCTCAAGGATATCACTGTGGGTAAGCAGTGATGAGTTGGGTAGAGGGATGGATGTTCCTCTGAGAAAGATAGCAAGACCAAGATGTAAAGTTCTCTGCTCTTACCTGAAGTCCACGATTTCAGCAGAAGTAAAATAGCGGCTCAGGGATGGTGACTCTCTATACATGTCCGTGAGCTAAATGTGCAGCAAGAAAAAAAAAATATGTATGTATGTAAACACACACACACACACACACACACACACACACACACACACACACACACACGTCTCTGGCAATCACCCTACATATCACCTACAGAAGCAAATGAGTTCAGGACAAAGTGGAATTCACCATAGCTGGGAATTCACTTGTCTAGGAGCTTTGGACTAAGTAAGAATGTGTAAGCTGACTACAAATCAAAGCTCAAGTTAGCACTCGGTGAGTTCTCAATGTTCCAAATACTAGAGTCTCAATGAAAGCCAGAATGCTGATCCCAGCATTCTGAAAGCTAAGGAAGCTAGACTTCCCAGGAGTTCAAGATAAGCCTAGTCTTCATAGTGAGTTCTAGGTCAGCCAAGGCTACATAATGAGACCATCAAAAAGATTAAAATGGGTTTATTGATAAGGTCCAGAGTTCTCTACATCACTTGGTAACCTTATGGTCTGTGACCCTCAACAGAAGCTCACGGAAGCACCATCAACCGCTGGGCATGAGGAGGAGGGGGATCAGCTCAACATAAGCCACACAGCACCAGGGACATCGGTGGTCATGGGCTTGTTTCTGTTGCTGAAGAACTTCATTGTTGGGAGAAGTATCTATCCTGAGTGTCAGGTCCAGCATTTCCCCAGTCAAGGGAACAAAATGAGTTGCAAAGGTATGGAGGCTTTGCACTAAAAATTGAATTTGTCCTTAAAAAAATGGTAACACCCATCACCTACACTTCATGCCTTCACCATTGCTATGCAGTAGCTCCATAGTCTATGATAGAGTTATTTCCTAATAAACTAAGTCATAGATTGAAATTACTAAAAGTCAAAAGTATACAAATAAGAGGGTAAGAGCAGGTAGACGTCACATAACCCAAATGAGGCCCACGAGATTGGGCAAAGGAATCTTTAAGACATAGGGGGTAGAGAGGCTAATAGAACACATGTGACATGAAAGAGAAAGGGAGAATTCTAAGGACAAACAAGTACAACAAGGATGGCGGCTAGAAGACAGGGGAAAGGAGCTGAGGGGAGAAACAGACAAAAAAAAAAGTATGTATATGAAAATACCATAAGGAAACCTGTTACTTTGTATACTAATTAAAAAATGGTAGAAATGCATTTAATCCATCTAACATACTCAACATTGTGGCTTAGCCCGGTACACTTTAAACATGCCCAAAAAGATTGGGCAGACTCATCTAACACAAAGCCATTTTATAATAAGGAGCTGTACTCATGTAAACAAATACAAATCCTCACTGCTTGTCATTACGGAATACATGGTGGAGGGAATTTACACTGTGTTCCTTCTGCATTTACATTGGAAAGTTAAAACCTTGTTCCCCAACACACTAGTTCTAGGATAAGTCAGAACTGGGCTGGGATCTAGTACCTCTCAGAGCATGGGAACAGCTCTGGGATTGAAGTCACAGCTACATCAAAAGCACCCACTCGTGTTCACCCTGAAGCCTCTAGCCAGACTATGCTCTGGCCTCTCACTTTACTGGTGGTGACCTTGTGATGAACTAGCAATTACCAGGCATACCTGGAAGGATTGGTGAGCCATGAATATATCCAGTAGGAAGCACTGTAACATAAATACCCAGTAGAACCCTATGAAGGTACACACCTTTCCTACCTAATCTCAAACAGGCTGGATAACCAAGCATTCTCACTTAACTCAAGGGCCAGCCACCCAGCCACACAGGCAGCCATGGAGTATAGTTTAAGTCAGAAAAGCTGGCTAGAAAACAAGCCAAGCTGAGGTCAGGCATTTCATAAGTAAGAATAAGCCTCTGTGTATTTATTTATTTGGGAGTCAGGAAAAACTACAGTGGAAAGCAGTTGAAGAAAACACCTAACATCAACCTCTGGCCTCCACATGTACACACTTGTGCATGTAAGCACACAAATGACAGGTACACATAGATTAAAAAATACCATCAACACTGTATTAACCCAGTATTAGGACATAACTACACCATTTTGTAACTATTTGATTGTTTCTCCTACTCATACTTCCCTGTAAGCAAGGACTATGTGGCCCCGGAACTTGGCATTACTAGGTCATCAGTGAATACAGGTTGGGTGAAATACAGGGCCAGCATGTGTAAAGGATGCTGTCTTCTGGCACACACAGCTGGAGGACGGGCCAGGTTCATTCCACTTGTATTTATAAGCACCTTCTGCTGTTCACTCTAGGGCTTTCCCAATCACTCTAACAGAACTCCTAATACCCAAACTAAGAACTCCATAAGCAATAATGCATAAGGCATAATCACCCTTTTAGTGAGCAAGTGATGCAATCCCTCTTCATTAACGCACTCCTCTGGAATCTTGAGCATGATGAAGAAGGTTTTGTTTGACGATAATACAAGGATTTCATTTTCATCTTCATCGATGTAAGTTACTAAAGAGATGGGGGGGGGGGTAAAAATAAAGGTAAGGCCATGCATAAAATCATGAGTTTAATAAAAGCAGATTCAGTGGTGCACACCTCTAATCCAGAAACACAGAGATAGGGGAACCACTTCAAGTCCCAAGCCAGCTTGATCTACATAGCAAGTTCCAGGACACCCATGGCTTCATGGTGAGACTGGATCTCAAAATATACAAAGAAAAAAATAAAAGGCATTCATTCTGTTGGCTTCTATAACTAAACATAACTATCCATACTCATAGAAGCTAAAATCTGGTCATAATCAGTAAGTACAAGCAGAAATACTTTCTTTGATCAGCAAACTAAATAAATAAATAATGAGAGGCACTAGGCAGGATGACCTCAACTAAGAATCTAAGCAATAGTGGAGAGGCTACCTTAAATGTCCATCCCCTATAATGATGACTACCTTAAATGCCATCCTAGAGCCTTCATCCAGTAGCTGAAGGAAGCAGAAGCAGAGATCCACGGTTAAGCACTGAGCTGAACTCCTGGAATTCAGTTTCAGAGAGGTAGGAGTGATGAACAAAGGGGTCAACATCATGCTGGGAAAACCACAGAAACATTTAACCTGAGCAAGTAAGAACTCATGGACCCAGACTGATATCTGGAGGACCAACACAGGACCAAGCCAGGGCCCCTGAACGTGTGTCGGTGTCAGTTAGGAGGCCTGGGCAGTCTATGGGACCTCTGGCAGTGGAACCAGGATGTAGCCCTAGTGCAAATGGATTTGGGGAGCACATTCCCCATGGAGGGATACTTTCTTAGCCTAAAGACATGGGGAAGGGCTTAGGCCCTACCCCAAATGACTTGACAGACTCTGATGATCCCTCATGGACGGTCTCACCTTCCCTGGGGAGTAGATGGGGGATGGGATGATGGGACTGGTGGGGAGCATGGAAGGATGGGAGGGAGAGGGAACTGAGGTTGATATGTAAAATAAGAAAAAAATGTTAAATAAAAACTTAAGAAGTACAAAAAGAGAGAGAGAGAGAGATGCTTGTCTTCATTGTGATAAATGTTTTGTTGGTTTTAGGGCAAAGGGATCTCTGACACCACTGAATATAGACCAGGGAAGGACCAGGCAGAAAGAAGTGGAAAAAACATGAAGTTGTTTGCAACATTGAACTTGAAGGTTAGCTGGGTACTCAGGTGTCGGGCCAAGTGCTGAGAAACAACATGGACACATAAGGAATGATCATAAGCAGCCTCAGTGAATGATCTTCCAGTTCTGAGCTGTCAAAGACCCTGATAGCACAGACAGGAATAGGGTAAGACTAGAAAATAAGGATCTGAGTGGACATCTCCAAGCATTCTAAGAGATGGGCATGAAATCATCACTCCAGCCTGGGTTCCACAGGAGAGGGATGTTGACGTCCTCTGTTTGCAGAGGGGAAAACAAACTTCACTTGGAGCCCCAGGGCCTGCAGAGCAACTCCTAGAACAATGAGCTCTCTGTTGCTTGTGTTCTAATGACTAGAGCTAATTGATTTTTAAACAGTTAGAGCTGAAGAAATGAAGGAAAACCACACACAGCCAGGAGCCCGGAGCCAGTAGCTGGCACTGGCATGCTTATTGCAGCTTTCCTGGCTCCACTCCAGCCTCACAGGCTTGCTCCATACAGGGGGCCACCTCATCCTCCCTGTGAAAAGCGTGGGCAACTGAGGAACCAGGTGATCTCAGACTTCCCCTTAAGTTCTGCACATCATAGGTAACCAACTCTGCCTCCTTTACGGGCCTTTGAAAGGACATCCTGGAATGCATTTAGTGTGATAGGAATGCAGATAAAATGCAGGGCTGTTCTGTCTCAAAAATCCAGGTGGGGAGCATTTGAAGGTGACACCTAATGTCAACCTGTGGTCTCCAAGTGTGCAAGCACACACACAAATGAACGTGTTCAACAGTCTTACCCAGCTACAGTAATGGCCAGTGTAGAAAAAAAAAATGCCCATGGACCCATGGACACAATAGATGCAAAAATATTAGGGGATCAACCAATTGCTCTCTGATTAGATTTAAGGTCCAGTCCACTAAAGAAAACTCGTGACTGGGGAATTCACAGGCCACAGGAATAAACATACTACTATTACTCTGCCAAATGGACACAAGGATAGCAAACTGTCTCTAAATCCCTATCTCTATATTCATAGATTACAGATGCTCTCAGACCTCACCAGAGAAGTGTTTTGTGCAATGGGGGCGGGGGGGCGGCATAGAAATTCAAAGCCTATCCAAGTGCAGAGAATATGTGTTGGTGGAGTGTTCAGCCATGACTGGACCTTCTAGTCACTCTACCCACCACCGAAGTTCAGAGACAATTGTGGAAGAAGGAACAGGAAGACAAGAATGATACAATGTCTTCTAGACATGACAGGACAGCTGCACTCATGAACTCATAGCAGATGTGGTAGATTGCACAAGGCCTGCACAGGATCAAGGTGATCAGCATTCTAACATAGAGGAAAGGGGGGCTCATGAGCTTCAACCCTCCAGGGGCTATTGGCAGTTAATAGCTTCTAGGAAAGGGAGATTCAGGGTTTTTTTTTTTTAACTTTTTATTGATTCTTTGGGGTTCACATCAGGAACCCCAATCTCATTTGTCTCTCCATTCCTTCTCATCTTCCCTTGCAACCTCCCCCAAACAATAAAATAAATAAATTTTAGAAGAAAACTATCTCATCTTGGAAGCATCTTAGAAGCTGTAGTGTGTCACAGTGAGTCACACATCTTACTCTTTAGTCCACTTATCTTTACTTTTGAGTGTTCATTGCAATGAGTCATTGGTTTGGCTCACGGCCTCTGGCTTCTGCTACTCTATCAATACTAGGCCCTCACTAGGGATATCCTGTTGCTGCGCTGTGTCATGGAGATCCTGCACCAGCCCCTTCACGTGCTCCAGCAGATCATAGAAGGGGTGGTTATTAGGGTTGTCCTGATTCTGGGCCTAGGTGGTGGCTGGGTTGCAGCCTGCCAGCTCTCCCTCACCCTCACCAATAGGGTGAGTTTGCCAGCACTGCCCCCCATTCCCTTCTAGCTCACCCAGTGTTGTAGGCAATAAGGGGTGGAGCCAGTTCTTCTGCCATCATGCCCTCAGGGCCGGCTCACCTATACCCACACTACTAGGTCAGTCTACTGTGCTTCCCTGATGAGATACAGCTGGTGAGGAGCAAGGCCAGCTCTTTAACTGGCAAAGAGAGTTCTTTTCAGGTGTGGCCCTGGTAGATCAACCATGCTTCAGGAAACGGTCCTACTCCTAGGAGTATACTGTCTGCACAAAATAGACTTGGTAGGTTATTTTTTAAAACGAACAACAACAGCAAAAAACCCAAGGACATGAAGTTGGGAATGGGTGGAGAGACAGGGATGGCTGTTCACTAACCCACCCAAAAATGGAATGTCTTTCCTGACTTCAATAATCATGGATTAGCTTTGCTTATTTTGGATTTTAAATCAGGGAAACCGTACTAGAAAAGAAAACAAACAAGCCCAGCATGATGGTATGTACTTCCAGTTTCAGTTCTGGGTGGGGAGACAGAGCTACAGAGCTCACTGGCCACCCAGCCTAGCTTACTTGGTGAGTCCGAGGCCAACATGAAATACTATCTAAAAAACAGGATGGATGACCCTTGAGGAATAATAGTCAAAGTTATTCTCTGGTTTCCATACAGGCATTCATACACAGACATACACACACAGAGACACAAACACACACACACACACAACACACACACACACACACACACACACACACACACACACGAAGTAAGAATTCTGACACTTGTCAGTCTGCTGTGATACACACATTTAATCTCAGTACTCAGGAGGTATAAGCAGGCAGATCTCTGTGAGTTCAAGGCCAGTCTGGTCTACAGAACAATTCCAGGACAGCCAAAGATATGCAGAGAAACCCTGACTCAAAAAACAAAGAAGAGTAGGAGGAGGAGGGGAAATCATCATTTTCCTGACACTCATTTCCAAGAAGAGAGTACTGTGAGGAGTTGGGGACAAAGATTGATCCATAAAGAGTTGCAAAGCTGAACTGAGATTGCCAGCCTTGGAAAGGCCTGCTCAGGGTGACTTCTGGCTAGCATCAGGAGCTTGGGTCTGAACGAAATTCCCATTAACCCCTCACTTATAGAGATGACCCACTTATAGAGATGACCTCATATACTTGTATAAACAACATGGTCAACATTCTGATAGTCTGTAATTTGCCATACTCCAGACAGAGGCTATGAAACTAACACCTAATGAAAACCTGGGCACAAAATGTCTAGTGGGAATCCAGAATAGATTTTGCATGTGCCTAGTCACAACTTGCTGCTGTAAAACTTGAGTTCCAACACCCCCACTGGGAATGAACTCCAAAATCTCACTCTAATTCCCTGTGGATTCCATTAATAATAAATGTCTTTATTTAGTGGGTAGTTGTAACTATAAGTAAGCCATGAGTACTGTGTGCATGCCTAAAAATACACTAACTAGTTCTGGGGAATATCACACACAGAGGGTTAGCCCTGAGTTTTGATTTGTTGTAAATCATTGGATATTTTTGTCTGACTGTAAAAAGTATGCCACCTTATCCAAAAACTTCAAAACTACAAAACAATGCAATCCAACTCCAAAAAAACCAAAGAACTCCTTGTATCACTTGCTTTGGTTTGGAACATCAAAGCCCTCCCAAAGGTTCATGAGTGAGTGATGCTGCAGTAGGTATCTGTGAGCTCTCTACCTACCACATAGTCTTCTCTCAATGACTCTGAAAGAGCAGGCATGCAGCAAGATGTGCTAGAGATACCAATAACTAAGAGCAGGCATGCAGCAAGATGTGCTAGAGATGCCAATAACTAAGTGCTATACTCAAGATGCTACGAAGAGACAGCAAGTTCAAAATGAGCTTTCTAGGACCATCTCTGATAACACGTACTTAGCTTATAGCTTAGAAATAACTCAGTCTCTGCAGAGACATG